GTTCACTTGGGTGGCGGCCACGGCGGGCACAAGCTGGGGGGAAGAGGAGGGAGGAGGGGCAAAGAGGCGGGGGGAGGGAAAAAAAAAGACCCCGCCGAGGATCACAGGGCGACGACACACAGCCAAAAGTGTCCGGGTCCGGTCGCATTGACGGAGCATCGGTCACGGCTTGGCACGACCCTTCTGAAGCTTGGCCCGGGCATAGATGGCGGCCCGCAAGGGCCCCGCCGTCCAGAGCCCCTTCAGTGTTTGGGCCACGCTCGACCGGAGATTCGATTGGGAGGCCGTGCGCAAGACCAACAAACGCCCGGCATATGGACTGGCACCGAAAAGGGCCCGAGGACCCTCGACCAGATGCGTCCAGGAGCGCATGACATGGAGGAAATCCGTGCGATGCAGGTCGCGGATGACCACGCGCACGGCCATCGCCGGCGGCAGCCCGGCCGTGAAAAGCTGATTCAAACTCACCCGGCTGACCGGCTGGCGGAGAAGGGCCTCCGGTCGGGCCAGGAAGTCGGCGAAGGACTCCCCGGCCGGCCGGTCCAGCCCCGACCCATAGTCCAGGAGCTCGCCCAGCACCGGGGCATAGAGCGCCGCAAACAGGGGAAACTGGTTGTCCACAATGTTGGCCACCTTGCGCGGGTCTTCGGCCCCGACCAGGGTCCGGACATCGCCGTAGTACGACAGCCGGGTGATGGTGAGGAAGAGCTCGCGCAGGGTGAACTCCGGCCCGAGCAGCAGCCGCGCATAGGCCACCGCATGGCGAAGGTTCTGCCGCTGGGCCGCCTGCAGGACCCCATCGGCATATGCATCGAGATCCGACGAGGGGACCCCGAGAAGGGACTGGCTGGCGGCCGGCCGGTGCAGGGCCCGGTTCAGCAGCCGGATCATGGCTCCGATGGCGGTATCCTGCGCGCTCGGCGAGGCCACCACCGGCCGGTTGGTGTTCCAGATGGCGCTTTCCAGGAAGAAGTAGTTCATCGGGTCCGATTCCCAGCCCAAGGCCCCGGCCATGCGAGCAGGCCCGGGAGCCGAGCCGGGGGGCCGGTATGCCGGCTTGCCGAGGACCGGCCCGACGGCCGCCGGGGTCGGCCGCCCGCGCAGAGCCAACTCCATGGTCGGCTTTTGCAGTCGTGCCGCCGTGTAGAAGGAGTCCCACCGGAGCAAATCCCCGATGTAGGCCTCGGTCGAGATGACCCCATACTTGACTGGCTGCTCCTGGAGGGTCACCTGGGAGTTATAATAGATCCCCCCACCGAGGGCCTGGATGCGAGTGGCCATTCGAGCCCCGAGGAGGCGCGCGTATGCCGGATAGTGGTCCGGATAGCGTTCCATATTCCGCCGGTGGAACTCCTCCGGGCGGTCGACGACAAAGATGAAATCCAGCATCTTTCCCTGGCATCGACAGTCAACAGAGTCCAGGAGGAGGAGGAGGAGGAGGAGGAGGGCGAGGCGGGAGCAGGGAGAGGGGGAGGGAGGGAGGGAGGAGCAGAGCCGTGAGAATGGGCGAGGGGCTTCAGGGGCGGTGGGGGGGGGGTCTTTTTCTTCTTCTTTTTTTTTGAGGCAATGAGGAACGGGTCAAGCGGTGCGGGGGCTGCAATGGGGCCATTACCTGGCCGAAGTCGGCCTGCGCATTTTGCGGCAGTGCCCCGGATCCATAGCCAATGGCGTTGCGGATTTCCACATGCGCGAAGTGCTCGGACACGAAGTCCGACAGCAGCTTGTGATGGCGCCGGAGGTGCTCCGGCAGCCCGGGCCCTGGCGAGGGGCGGAGCGTGTCAAAGAAGACCGGTGGCAGGGTCTCCAGATACTCCGGCCGGAGGGGAGTCAGCGTCGGGTAAACCGGCTCCTGGATGGTGTGCTCCCGGTGCGCGGCGTCATGGAATAGCAGCTCTCCCAAGCGGGGAAGCAGGCTGCCGATGTGGGCACTGCCCTCCGAGGACCCGGGACCGGGGGCGACAGAGCCAGGCCCCGGCCGGCCCCCAGTCAGGCGCGCCCAGAGTGACATCCGGGGACTGGGGGCATCAGCCTCGGGCGGGGCGACAGCCGCGGGGCCGGCGGATGGAGGAGCTTTGGGAGGGTCGGCTGGCGGCACCGCAGCCGCGGCGCCCGCAGCAGGGGGAACATCGGTCGGCGGGGCCCGGGAGGAAAAGAAAGCCACCCCACGAGGAGCCACAGGCCGAAGGACCGGCACTAGGCGCCGGTGGCCGAGCAGGAGGAGGCCCATTGTTGCAGGTAGCCGAGGAAGGGAAGGCAGAGAGGGGTGGGGGAGGCAAGGAGCGAGACGGGCTGCCGTCATGGGGCCGACCGGGCCCGGCCGATCCCGCCGCCAGCCGATTAATACCGGCTGGCTCGCGGCGGTCGGAGGGGGGGGCGGGGGGCGGGGGGCGGGGGGCAGGGCCGAGACAAAAGCACAGGGGTCTCTGCTCCCGTGGGAGAAGCAGCCCCGCCGCCCCGATGGCGAGTCCACAACACCGTCCGTCCGTCGGCACTTGGGATGCCATGCGTGAGGAGGCATTCCCGGCCGTGGCCGTAGATCGAGGAAGATGACTTCTCTGGGCGTGCGGGGCCGGTGGTGCGCCGAGGGGGGCGTGCCTCGCGCGACGCCGGCCCTGCGAGGAGAGGCCCGAGGGCGGGGGCCACCCATCTGGGCGGCCATCAAAAACAGGGCCGGCGATCGGCGCGACATTTTTTCCCGGTCACCACAACCCCCCTTGCCTCCTCCATCCTCTCGCGCCGCCTGTTCCCCGCACCAGGAGACTCGGGCACCCGGACCGGCTGATCTACCGCTCGCATCCGGTGTTATTCCCGGCACCCGGACACACACGGACACACACAGACACACACGGACACACACGGACACACACGGACACACACGTTCCACGTGCCTCCACCTCCTCCCCCGCCACCCGCCGGCCTCCACCACTCTTCTGCACGGCCAATGGCCCGCTTGCTGGGGGTCTTCCGTCTTGCCTCTCCCCTCTTCTGCCCGCCCTCGCCCCCGGCTGCTCGTCTTTCTCGCCCCTTTGTTGGCGCCCTTCTCCAGAGGGCCACATTCTCCCGCCAAGCCATGGCCGAAACCCCGCCGCAGCCCGGCGATCCCGCCATCTCGGAGGGGAGCTCCACCCCGCCGTCAGCCGGCATTGAGGCTCTGTCGAATGACGAGCTGCAAAACCTGGTCCGACGCCTGCAGGGGGAGCTGGCCTCGGCACGCACCGAGCTGAAGCAGCTCCGCCGCCAGGCCGACCCCATCCCCGAATCTGCCCCCCCGGCCACCATGCGCAAGGCCCCGCGGCGGGAATTCGATCCGCGCCGGTATGGCCAGCGTCGAGTGGTCCTGCACGTCAGCTACATGGGCTGGAATTTGAGCGGCCTCGAGGCACAGGCCAACTCCCCGGACACGGTCAATGGCCACCTGCTCCGGGCCCTGGCCAAGACTTTTCTCATTAGCGTCCCGAGCGAGGTGTGCCGCAAGCATGGCATCACGCAGCTCTCCCCGGAGGTGGCGACCACCGCGGCGCCGGACATTGTCGCCGCCTGCCGGCTGTCGCAAACCGGCCGCACGGATGCCGGCGTGTCGGCTCTGTCGCAGTTCATCGCGGTGGATGTCCGCTCGCAGGCCCTCGGCCCGGCGGCCGCCATCGTCGACGGCGAGGCCCCACAGCATCCGGTCCTGGACCGGGCCGAGTTGAATTATCCGCGCCTCTTGAATGACGCCCTGCCGGAGGGGATCCGCGTGCTTGGCTGGGCCCCGGTCTCGTGGGACTTCGACGCGCGCTTCGCCTGCCAAGGTCGGTCTTATGCATATCTGTTGCCGAGCCACGGCCTCGACCTCGATGTGCGTGGTGTTCTGTGCCCCTTGCCCTTCCCGGCGCTCTCCTTCGACCTTCGCTGATTGCCACATGCTAACTCGGCTCGCGGTACGCCTCCCCCGGCACCGCCCGAAACAGCGCATGCGTGAAGCTGCCGGGCATTTTGTCGGGTGCCATGATTTCCGGAATTTCTGCCGGCTGGACAAGTCCAAGACGCAGATCCGCTTCGACCGGACTGTCTTCAATGTGACTGTCGAGCCGTTTGCCCCGTCCAATGCCCTGCCGTGCGTGGCCTCTCTGCCTGCCCCCCCCCCCCTCCCCGCACGCCCCTCTCTGGGATCCCTCCTCTGACATTTCCCCTCGGCCTTTCGGGCCCCTGGCCTGCCCGGGCTCTCGGGCCTCCCCGGACGCCCCGTCACAGCGAGCACCTGCGGTATCTGATGGTGCGGGTTTACGGCCGGGGGTTCCTCTACAACCAGGTCCGAGCCATGGTGGCGGTGTTGGCGGCGGTCGGCACAGGGCGCGAGACGCCGGACGTTGTGCGCCACCTGCTCGACATCGAGAAGCATCCTCTGCGTCCTGTGTATGATGTGGCTTTGGAGTATCCTCTGGTCATGGTTGGCGCGGATTATCCCAATCTGAACATGATCTATGAGACAGGTGCGTCCTATCCCCCCCCCCTCCCCTTCTGTGCCTGTGCCTCCCTCGTCCCTCGATAGGGCCCACATCCCCTCTGTCCAACTTGCGCCTGTGCTTACCGCCTTCCCCTCCCTCCATTCCCGCCAACACTCGCACACACTCGCACACACTCGCACACACTCGCACACACTCGCACACACTCGCACACACACACA